CCTGCTGGGATTAAAGCAGTCACACTAGTTCATCCTTTATAAAGCATTTTTCATCATTGTGAAATACAAAGCTAATATTCAAAGCAAAATGGGTACTGATACATTGTGTTATCAGATAAGTTCAGATATTTGATTTTGGTCTGTTGCTGTCTTCTGATTTCCCTCCTAAGGCTGCAGCAAACTGCTTCAGTTTAACAGAAGATGGAAAACAGTTCATCTTGGCAATTGGCCCTGTAACTCCCACTGAGTAGTGTCCAGGTTTTTTTGTTGCTCTTGGGTTTAGGTCGTTTTGTTTTTTTTAATGGGATGACCATGAGAGAGAAATGGTCCAATGATGAGCAGGGGCTCAACATGGTTTGATTTGCACTATTCATCAAGGGGAGGCAGAGCCAAATTTATCTTGTGTACAACAAACAACTGCTGTCAGACCTCAGATAAAATGTCTGAATTGAGGTTGATTGCTGAGAATAATTTTCTGAGAGAGAAAGTGATTTTCTTTCCTTGAACATGCTTTGTGTCCTCATGTTTTCAAAGGCTAGCAGGCAAACTAAACTTGTTTTGTACTGATGATATCTACGTTGTACACTGTGTTCCTCCCAGATTGAGATCCTGATGCTATTTCAAATAGCATTCAAAACTAATGTGTATATTTTGAATTATGATGCATAAATATAAGAGAATTAAAACACTCACCTGTGTGGCCAGAGGTCAGGATAACCTAACTTAAGGAATTACATCTGAAAAGTTGTGCCTTTTGCATCAATGGCAAATTTTACCCTTCTGTAACTACACTATATGATACAGCAGATAAACGTTTATCTGCATAACTTCAGACTTACAGTAGTGTTAAACCCCTTTACACTGGACTCAGGAGTAGTTTGTCACATTTAACAATGCCTATAAACTGTGGCTCTTGACTCAGAAGGTGTTTATTGTACATGCTAAATAAGGAGGGGAGATTATAAAAAATCCAGTATGTAGCCATATAATTAATGATGATAATAAAATGAGTTTGCAGAAAAGGAAGGAACTAAAACTGCAACTGTTAAAGTGTTTCTTTTAAGCTTTTCAAGCTTTAATTTGTGCTTTTCTTTTTTAAGTCTTTGTTCAAGCTTTCTAATAGGGAGCTAGGAAGTAAAAAAACCCAAACAAACAAAAAACCCCAACCAAAACAAACAAAAAAACCCTAGAAAGCCCTTGTCATACTTTTCTATCATTATCCTTTGATATTGTAGGGAGAAAGAAGAGGAGACCTGAATTTTCTTGGGATAAAAGTTATATTCTGTGACAATATGCAAAGGAAGGACCATTGGCATATTGGTTGTTGTTTTCTGAGAATGCTAAGGTAGTCATGTCTCTCAGTATTATATTTCACTCTCCTTCTGTAGAGAGGTGATGTGCTCAATCTGTCAGGGCAGGGATTGCTGCTTTTGTAATAACATGAGTGCATCTCTTCAGATGTCAGGTGAATGTTCTGGCCAGCTGCTTGTCCTTAATCCAAGAGAAGAAGTGACAGAAATGAAGGGACTATTTTCAAAAGTTAGGAATAGAAAGGAATAAATACACCTCTAGCCAGCAAGCAAGGATTTTTTTGTCTTTGCAGGTTCCAAAGACATACAGGCAAAAGCAACTGTGATGCTGCAACTTCTTCTCTGTGCTTTAATATCACTGGGAAATCTTTAGTCAATGTAAATGCAGGGTAACTGTCAGTATTCATGTAGTTAATTCAGCATCTGTTAAACCCAGTCTCACATATTGAAAATAAAATCAGAACTCAAAAAAAACATGCAAAATTTATGTCAGTATATGAGGAAAGGAAAAAAAGATGCACAGGGACTGACTGACAAATCTGCTCAGGAATGAGGCAGAAAGCTTTTTGGTTTTGGTATGGAATCTCTATGAAAAATGTTAACAAATCTGACAAGTTCTCCCTTGTTTTGGAGACACTGATAGACACTGTGCTCAACTGTGGTGCTATTTTTTGAGTGGAGGTACCAGGACTGCAAGAATCAGCTGCACGGGAAAAAACAGGATTCTTGCACATGTGGCACCCACTGACAACAGTTTTCTGCACCTGAACTTAGGGAAGCACTGAAACTACTGATGGAAATAAGTTACAAGATTTAGTAAATGAAGAGTTTAATGCTACAGTAACTTTGCTTAATTATATGATTACATACAAACACTCCAGCTAACAGATTGTGCTATGAGCTTTCTAAGATGTTAAAATACATCAAAATACCTACTCAGTTTCAATATAATGGTATCCTTTGTTCTCTCAATCTGAAAGACCATGTCTAATTAAAATAGCTAACCTATATAATTTTAAAAGGAGCTATTACAGACATGTTTACAGATACTTAATTTCTTAAATTTATATTGGTTATTAAACATGGAATGTCCCAGACCTTTTTGGTTAAAGTACTTAAGAAGAAACAAAAAACTTTGAAACACAACCTGTATAAAATTCTAGGCAATTTCACTTATTTGTTGTTCTTTGAAGAATGTTTAACAGGAAAATAAAACACATAATCTTTAGTCCTTATCTTAAGATTTAGAAGTCAGAGTTCTGTTGTGACTCAATAAGCATTTGTAATGTAAAAACCTCCCTGATTAGTTGATCTGGTATTAACTGACTCTTTGTTTTGAAATATGTAATTCACAATCCAAGTTAAATCAAGCTCAGTTCTACTTCATTTTCTGCTATTGAAAAGTATCAATATTAATTGGGATGCAAAGCTATATTTGACAGTTATAACCTTTAATGCTTGGTCTCATTTCTAAAAACATTATTAAAGTGTAGATTAAATCAGGACTGTTTTACCTGTGTTTCAAGAACCCTATGTTTTTGTTGTTGCTAGTAGACTGGTTAGTGAGACAGGACTGGTAAACCTGGCTAAATCTGGCTAAATCTCCAAAATGGAGTCCCTCTTCTAACTTACAGTATCTCCATCAAGTTTTGTTTTTAACCTGCAGTGATCTGTAATGAACTGTAAAGTATATAATGTGGAAATTGTGACAGCCATTAGTACAATGTGTGTCCTTCCACAGTGGTTGGCTTCAGTTCTTCACATTGTGGGTTATTGCAGGGCCTCCTCAAAACAGCATCTCTGGAAGTTACTTGTGAAGTGTTACTGTATTAATAGTAGTATTTCTCACAGTAGTTTATATTTGACAAAATGAAGATAAATTAATAAAAATGTAAGGATTACAACTCATTCATTTGTTATCTAAACAAACCATTGCTGGGCTCTAGGGGAACTGGAGGATAATGAAGCTAGTCCAAGCAAAGTGATGACTTGACTTCCTGGGTTAATTAAGTACAATTCCCTAATGAAGCAGTGCCTTTGGCACATCTGTCTCACCATCTCCCCAAGAGGTGATGCTGATCTTTTATGTTAAACCAGTCACATCTCCTGCGTGTTCACAGTAGAGCATCGCTCCTCAGGTGTACCCTGGTGGGCAATAGCTGGGCTGGGTGTGTGTCATTGCTTGAGTTTCTGTTTGCTTTATCTTTGTTCATCTTCTGTCTGATAATCAGTTCCCTTTTTTCAGAGCCAGTTGTCTTGTTCTGTCTTTCTACAGTGGTGGTTAGTACTGCTCTGTGATGAGCTACCACACCATTTTCAAATAAGGAACTAAAAGTAATTGACTGTGAGATGAGAACAACATTTATTCTCCCTTTCCATGTACTCAGCCCTTTGTAAATCACATTTTGTGAGGCAGCATCTGGGGTTGTCTCATTCAAAATGATATCACGATTCCTTTCTGTTGCATTACAGAGCTGTGGGTGCCCATGTCAAACAGCTGGAAAAGATTGATTGTTCCTGCAGCAGTGTGGATTGGTGTACAGTAGATAGGAACAGTGACACATGTGAAATGGTCTCATATCTCCTGCTTATTTTGGAGTTGTGCAGAGGAGCTTTCAGCTGGAATTTTATGGTTTTTCCATTCACTTTAATCTGAAAGGTTTTTTCAAGCCAAACTCTAAGCTGCTAATTCCAGAAAAAAAGCTTCCACTGTTTCAGTGGGATGTGGACCTAAATTGGAACTTACTTCATGGGTAGAATTATCCCTTTTCTCAACATGTCAGCTTTCAATCTTGAAAAAAAAATAAATTTATTGCTATTCAGTAATAAAAACACGTTCCTGAAATGGGGGTAGGATTCTGTAGGTATGTTTACAGTTCATTAGCAAAGGAGAAATTGCTTTTGATGTTCTTTTTGTTGTTTTTTTTTAGTGTAAGCATGTAATCTCCAGCACTTGAAGATCTGCTTATTGAATCCTTATGTTTCTGACCATTTTTGAAAGATGTCCACACTGCAGAAAAATCTTTATCCTTGACTGTCAGTTATGGGATAATATGAGTGAGGAGTGCAGAAAGAATGACCAGAGTATTGAAAATTCATTTTATCAAAGTTTGTTATTTTCCCTGAAAATGAGGAGAACTAGATTTTAAACTCTTATATCAAAAAGCATACTGAGTGGGCAAAATGCTGTCAGGTAGGAAGCCTACTGAAGTTTTTGATTACTTGCAGTTTTAAATTACGAAATCTAAAAAAAAGGAACCCATGATTTTGATCAAGGCCAAGTGATGACATCTTGGACCTATTACTCAGTTGTTGTAATGATTTACTGACAATGATATTGATCGATGCAGTTGACACCAGGTAAGGATTAGAAGGTTTTTTCTTTCCTATTTTTCCCCTCAGTACATCCAATCTAAATTGCTTTCGGTTGCCGGAAGGTATCTGTCTGTGTGCAGTCCTGTCCCTGTGGAAGCAGGTTTTGATGCAAAGTTACAGCCTTTTAGAATCCTGTATGAGAGGATATTGTGCTATGATGCATCTATCTTGTCTTCTTATCTGTGTCTTTGCTGGTGACTTGAAGATGTTATCCATGTATAAAATAAAACCAGTATGATCAAATATTTAGAGGATACCTCAATATTTCAGTAACTCGGTAATAAAACTATATTACTTTTTTCTCCTCCCTCTCAGAACAAAAGCCTCAAAAACAAGCTCCTGTCAGGAAACAAGCTTTGTGGTATTCATGCAGAAGAGGTAAGTGAAGTTCCTCTCTATTCTAAATCTAACATACTGAAAAGAAGTTTACATCAAAGTCTTTTGTACTGAGGTTCTGGTGTAGCTCACGTATTAGGTGTCTATGGTGTTACTACAGCTCTCTCATCTCTACTCATTTCTGTGTACCCAAATGTATTAGAAAGCAAGCTGCAAACTCAACTTTTAGAGAAAGTTTGGGCATGCTTATGAAGAGTATATGTAGCTGCTATCTAGATGTTTATTATACATCTATGGCATATATAAAACTGATTTCCTTTCCATGATCTCCATGCCCAGACTAAGACAGGAATAACTTAATGCCTTTTTTGAAATTAAGTTACAGAGGCAGGAAAGATTTATTATTATTGATTCCTACAATGTTTCATTACTTCAAGGAAAAAAGGTCACTTTATGACAGAGAGGGAAAGAAATCTTCCCTCTTCTGAAGAGCAAGCTAGCAAAGATACTTGCTACAAAAGCCCTGGGGTTTTTTTTCCAAATGCATAAAAGTGCAAGTAACTGAATTTATGCAAGCACTCTCTTTAGCTTTTTAACTTTTCATGAAAGAGGATATTACTATATGTGAATCTGGTTTACATATTTCCATTACTTCAGTCATATTTTTTGTATATATAATTTCAGTGAAAGCCATTGCACCTTGCCAAAACGAAACAGAATTGTAACACTTTTCTTCATGACTAAAATTTTCATAATTACTGTTGAATATGTTTTCTTCATTAAAGACTCTAATTTTTAACTAAGAGGTCAAAATGTAAGAGGTCAAATTAGTGATTTCTAGTTATATTAGCTATTTAACCTAACTAAAGATCTGCAACCACTGTTTCTGAGAAATCCTCAGTGGTAGGAAATAACAGGGTTGTGGATTTGTTTGATTTTTTGCTAGTTTGTTGAAATCTGTTATCTTCCTATATCACCATTGTTGCTTTCTAACATGCCGTGGTGTATGAATACAAATATATTTTCTTCCCTTGTTCACTGTTTAAACAATTGGCAGTGTGTGCCACATAGCTTTCTGCTTTCCTGTCCAAGTTCCTTTTTCTTACCTGCATAAGATCTTCAATGTTTGGCAATTAACTTGAAGATTCCTTTCTTGCCATTTTAGATACCTTCTAAGTCATAGAGACTGTATATTTTCTTAAGCCCAACTCCTAAAACAATTACAGTTGGTTAAAGTTTTCTCCCTGGTCTTTAACGTGGAACACATTCCATACTGCATTATCTGATCAGAGGCCAGGGCTCTGGGCACTTTCTGCTGTCTAGATGAAGTAACAGCAGACATAGTTACAGAGGGAAGAAATTAATTGAACTGATCTTGGCTCATTTTTCCAGATCTTATGGGGTACAATAAAAAATTTGGCCATACTTCTTAAATATTTCAAGCTAGTTCTAAAATTTTAATTTTAGGTTCATTCATCCTTCCCACAAGTTTGTCACTGAATTTGGCTGCCCAATTGTAAAGATATCAAATCTTTCTAAAAGCTCTAATTTATTGAAGATACACTACTATGTGTAATATGTTTATGGATCTGCAGTTTCAGGAAATGTGGAAGGGACTTCTAATCCATTCCAAGGAGTTCTAAACTTTTGGCATAAATTATTGTGAGAAAACTTATTAAATATTAGTTGAGAATGTGGATTTTAGTGAAAACAAATAATTTTGACAGGATTCTTAGATAAAGGGTGAAACCATGTTCCTCAGACAGTTTGGTGTAGTATAAAGAAAAAATCAACTGCTTTACAATAAATTAATATATAGACAATTACTTACGATTACTTTTAAGGATAAAATTTAACAATATTTCAAATAAATGTCAGTCTAAACTGACATAAATCAGAAAACTATGCATATTTTAGTGGACATGATCACAAACTCAGAATGTAATTCATTTGGATGCTACCTGCAACTTCCTGGTCATTCTAAAGAAGAACCTTTGCAACACCATGGAAACTTTTTTCCCCTCTAAGATAAGAAGATTCTTCACTTGGAAGGTGCTGCCTTCAGTTATGCTTCAGGGAAAGTACTGATAACATCTCATGTCTAAAATGTATAAGCTAAAAGATTACTCACAATAATAAATCATGTATGTTCTGTAGTCAGTGCTTTTTCAACACCATGGAAACTTTTTTCCCCTCTAAGATAAGAAGATTCTTCACTTGGAAGGTGCTGCCTTCAGTTATGCTTCAGGGAAAGTACTGATAACATCTCATGTCTAAAATGTATAAGCTAAAAGATTACTCACAATAATAAATCATGTATGTTCTGTAGTCAAGTGCTTTTTTACACTTTCCTTGATCCTTTTGCCTGGTTTAGACATGATACCCTGGAAAAGTAGTAGACTTTGGTTATCTTTCTGCATTTTAAAGCTTATCTACTTTCTGCCATTGTGAGAACTTGCTGCTTCTTTTCTTTCTGATCTAAAAAGTAAATATTTAAAATAAAAAAGACAATCACCTGATCTTTTTTTTTTTTTTCTTCAGTCAAAAAAGATTCAAGCACAGCTGAAGGAGCTTCGTTATGGGAAAAAGGATTTGATTTTTAAGGTAAGTTTTATTTCACTGTAGGCAGCTAACAAGTATTAAGGTTAATTTAGTATGGAAAGAATGTAGGAGTATGATAGCTGCCTTTAGTACTGGAGTTCTAAGGAGTCATTTCCTTTTCACCATACCAAAAAGAGCTCAAAACACCAAAGATAGACATAATACCATAAGACAATTTCAGAAAAAACATCTATTTGAATTGCTTTTGGGGTTTTTGCAAACCACCATCAAACGGATTGTGCTTTTTATTAAATTGCTTTCTGGGGGCAAGAAAGAATCCATTCAAAGCCTGAAAAGTTTTCTGGCATCTTTGTTTTTAAATAGGCAAAAGCAGTGGTAAGTGTTTAGATTATTAATATCTTCACATAAAACAGTGTTCGCATTTCCTGCTGGTGGCCAAAACCTGTTGCTGTGTTCCATAGATTCTGTAACACATTTTTCACCTTTCTAACTGAATAATAGAATATTTTACATATGGTTTTTCCTTTTTCTTTGATTAGCAGTGCTCCGTGGCAATGTCAGTAATTGTTAACACTTAAAGCAAAACTTTATGATAAATTTGAGTAGTGGAGTGGCATCCAAATTCTTGTTATAGGCTGAAACATCTTTACCAAAACTGAAACTTCTGGGGGAAAAACCAAAAAAACCCAAACCAAAACCAAACCAAACCAAACAAACAAAAAATAAAATAAAAGAAAAAATGTCTGTGACTCATGCAATCCAGATGAATACCCTGTCTAGCTAGTGCATTTAAAGAAAGAAAAAAAAATGGATGTGGGGAGGTGAAAGGCAAAATATATAGAAATTTTGCTAAAGGGCATCAAATCCTTGCAAAGTTAATCTCTGTTAAAGGAGGAGGAGAGAGGTTCAGGACACCTGACTGGAGGCTGCTAATTGAGTAAGGCTTTTATTCCCAGCATAAAGGATGAAGATAAGTACTCATCTTCAAAGTGACTAGAGCTAGAAATATTGCAAAGTAATTCATCTCAATATGAGGTCCAAATTGCCTTCTGGAAGTATTTAACTTTCACTACTCTATGCATAGTACTGTAAAGATGCAGTAATGTAAGTTAAAATATGCAGTGTAATTTCTGTGGAGTTTGGGGTTTTTTTGCTTCTTTTTTTCCTTTTTTTTTTTTTTTTTTTTTTTTTTTTTTCCCCCCATGCACAGGTTGATTCCAAGGCTTTTCAGGCACTTTTATTTCTGGTCATCATAAGACACTAACCAGGGGAACAGATTTAGAGTTAAAACCTAGGCATATTATACATCTAGGAAGTTAAATTTTAATACAAAGTAACATGAAAAATAGCACTTTTTTTTTCCCTTCAAATTCAGTTTAGCTATAACTGAGAGCTTGAACAGAGGAAAAGATAATAGCTCTAAACTTGCCTGGGTGTTAAAACTTGTTTCCTTTGGCTGAGACAAAAGATCTGTTGGGTACTACTATCTACTTCTTGTTTTTGTCATACTAATATGCACTGATCCTGAAAAGGGATCTGAATTATGCCAGGTTGTGTAGTAAGAAAACAGCTTGCAGAAACAGAGGAGGGAAACACAACCATGAAGGAGCAAGCAAATTGGAGAGGCTTTCTGGGAAGTCACTGGCATACATGAAGTGAAATCCACCTTCTCCTGATCCTGGTTCAGTAAACTATGACAATTCAGCCATTAAGGTACAGATACAATGATCAAGGCTTTGTGACAGAAGGGGTGGAGTTTACTCATGCTGTAAGGGAGACAGTGGGAATGTGAGTAGAAGTGGGTTTCTTCTGATTGCATATAGATGTCTGCACTGTAGACTCCATTTCTCATCCCTGGAGAGTTGGGGAAACACATTTTGTCCTAAAGAATATGTTTACCTTTAACCACATGAATTATGCCTTAAACTCCTTGACATTGCAAACTTCTCAGAGCAGTTCACCAGAAGGATGTAAAGCTCACATGAGATTCCTAAAGGGCATGAGGGAATGCTTCTGTCCAAGCCTATTAAGCCTTTGGTTTCTGTGGTGGAATTAATTGTGAAGATATATGTGAAGTAAGAGGTGGGGTGTTTGCTTTTTGTTTTGCATAATCAACATGGAGAAACTAGTTTGGAAATTCTAGTAACTATTATTGTCAATGACTCTGTACTCACTAGAGCTGTGGGGATGAAGTGGGAGTGGAAGATGAAAAGGGAAAAAAAGACAGCTTTCCTCTTTAATACTCCAGTGAATTGGTAAATTATATCTACTTTTAACAATATGTGACCTTAGCTTAACCAAGTGGTAGTAAGTAAAAATGAGTTCATCATATTTGGCATGTATTACTCTTCTTATGATTTCAAAGTGGTTTGTAATCTCGTTGATTAACTATGTTGCACATATGTTCCTCTATCTATATATATTTTTTTTTCTCATTGTAAGTGATGAAATGTCCACTCAAGCTTCTTAATTTTATAGCTGCCTTTGTAACTAGGTATTTACAAGTTCAGAATGAGTCCACTCTTAATTACAGTAATTTAACTATGGTCCTAAAACCCTAATTCAGTGAAGTACTCTTAAATTTAAATGCTTTGCTAAATTGTGTTTTACATTTGTTTCAGGCATTCTTAAACACTTGTTTTCAAATTACTTCTCCATCATTAACTGTCCTTCCTATCATTTGACTATACTGTCCTAGAAGAAGTCATGTTTTACTAAACTAGAAAAAGGTTAAAAATAAGTTGTGTGGGTTTTTTCATGAAACACAAATATATGTGTATGCCTGATAGAAATTTGAGATGAAGACAAATTAATTCAGCAATAACTTTCACTATCAGTTTATAAAAGTCTCTTGTAGTTTTGAAATCGTTCTTTGAAATTTACAAGGTGAGAACAGTTCACGGGTACAGCTTGAGTATTTCTATGTACATTTTTTGTGATGAATTTCTAAGGATTCTGTTTCAGAATTTCAGAGTTATGAATTTACTGCTTAGTCTGCTTCCTCGTTTGTCATTTCAGTTCTGAGGCAAAATAGATTGACAGACAGCCCTAAAATCCAAGAAGGTTCCAACGTGAGCAACAGCTAATGATACCAAGCCTGCCAATGTACTTCATCTTTGTTCCACAGTAAATTTAAATTTAAAAAAGGAGTAGATGGCATCTGCCTTACAACAAATTAGGTGATTTCTAATAAGCATTCTGTACATGGTCTAACCATGAGTGAGATGGTTTATAATTGTCCACCTTCCTCTGAGAACCAAACCACATTTGCTCCAGTTGGGCACGTGGTTGTGGCTGGTTTCTGGATTGTCACTGCCAAGGTGGGAGTTTACACTGATGAACTGCTTGCCCCTGATGCTGGTAGGGGGGCCCTTGGACCTCTCCACATGTGTAGAGCCACCAGGTGCCCAGATAGAAATAGAGGACATCTGAGAAGACAAATGCAGTGCTGGGAGATCAGGGGCATCAGGAAGCAGCAGAGGTCGAGGTACTCAAATAGAAAGGGAAAGGAGAAAGGCAGGCAGGAAGGTTAGTGAGGGTAACTGGGAGAGAGGAACAAGGGTGGGAAGAAGACAACCTTGCTCCCAGTGATTGACAACTTCTCCTGCTCCTCACAGTGGTCTAGCAGTACCACAAATAAAGAGCAAGATCCTCATTTAACTTCATTTCCTTTTTATGCTCCACTAGAGTGTTTCAGGTACTGAGTGCTCGATCCCTCCAGAGGCCTAAGCAGAGCCACATCAGCATCTCAAAGTTAGGCTTGACTTATGGATTTGTCTTACATGGACTCATATGAGAAAGAGAAGGCAGGGTTTAAAATAATGTTTTTTAATTTTCTTTCAAGGACTTGTTTCAAGGAAGTATTTTTTTTTTGCCTGGGAGACACCCAAATTGCCTTTATATAGAAAGGGCAAAGGGCATGTACTTATAAGTCAAAACCACTTTCTTTGAAAAAACATAGTGCTATGCTAATCAATTCATTATCTGTATGTGTGAAAATAAATTTTAAACCATGCATTTGATATGGTAAATAAAGCTGAAGAAAAGCAAAATTATGTGAAATTGTTCTCATATCATCCTGACTGGATGTGGTAAATATTTATACCACTCCTCCTTCTCAAGGAAAATTGATGCCACCACATGTTTTCCTTCTTATTAGCAGTAGTTAATTACATGCCACAGTAAACCTGTTTCCTAGAATTGCAAAGTATGTCTTTCTGTGATGCAGACTATGAGATTCTCCATCCTCTGCAGAAAAAGAGGTGAAATGTTTAAAGAAAAACAAAACCCCACAAAACCACTGAAGACCTGACAGCCAAGAACTTGTGTTGAACATTACAAATGACCCCATTGTTTGAGCTTGAAATAATTGATTATGTAATTTAAATCTTTGATAATTTCCAGAAATGTGTGCTCACACATGTATGAAGATGCAAAAGTTTCAGGTTTTCCAATTCAGTTCTGCAAACTGTTTGTATACAGTTGACAGTCAGGCTTGACCCAAATCAAGCTATTTCATAAATGTACATTCTCTTCACCACTGATTTTATGAAGACAGGCTGGGAGAGTTTGGATTGTTCAACCTGGAAAAGAGAAGTCTCTGAGGAGACCTTACAGCAACCTTCCAGTACCTCAAGGGGCTACAGGGAAGCTGGGAAGGGACTTTTTACAAGGGCATTGACTGATAATGATGAGGAAAAATGGTTTTAAGCTGAAAGAGGGTAGAATTACATTAGACGTTAGACAGAAATTTTTTAGTGTGAGGGTGGTGAGACAGTGGAACAGGTTGCCTAGGCAGGTTGTGGATGCTCCATCCCTGGAAGTGTTCAAGGCCAGGTTGGATGGGGCTTGCAGCAACCTGGTCTAACAGAAGGTTTCCCTGCCCATACAGGAGGGTTGGAATGACATGATCTTTCAGGTCCCTTCCAACCCAAACCATTCTATGATCCTATAATTTGCACCTGTTTGCATTAAAATTGCTATCAACTGCAGAATTCAGCCAACCTTGCATGTTTGAAAAATAAGTCAAGTAAATAGATTTT